TCTATTTAAAAGAAATTCTTGTTTGTTTCCCTTTTTGACAAGCCTCTCATAGATGGCCTTTAGTGAACTTTAGTTTAGGTAGACCAATTACTAAATCTTTTGAGGATACTTTGTTCAATAGGTGAAAGTTAAGATGAGTTAGGCGTCTATGACACAACCAAGAGTTTTCACTCATGGTGGCTAGACACTTAGTTCCAACCAAAGAAACTTCATCTAAATTTAGCATATAATTATTATTAACCCTCAAGCCTTTAAACACGTATTCTTTCTTTTCATCATGCACAAAGAAGAAACAAGTTTTTGTAAAGGTAACTTTAAAACCCTTGTTGCAAAGTTGGCTTATACTTAGAAGATTGTGTTTAAAGCCATCAACTAACATTAAATCAAAGATAGTAGTAGACTAGGTATTACCTACACTATCTTTTTCAATTATAGCACCTTTGTTATTATCTCCATATGTGACGAACCCATTTCTTTTTGGCAGTGAGTCTTTCCAAACTGTCCTTTAGAGTTGTTACTTCCTCACGAAGCTCACGGTTCTCTTGTTACAATTGATCCATCTTTTTCCTTAGATTAGCTCGAGTATTATATTGGTGTGACAGCTTGGCTGAATGAAGACCAAAAAAAACATAAGACACCTGGAAAAGGCAAGAAACAATGCAAGAGATGATGCTTAATGTGCAATATGCAAATGAAAAGTTTTCAAGGAACTTTAAAGATACACAGTAAATTGCAAACATTATGTTGAAATAACACATGATAATAAGATCCTAAGATAACATGATAATCGAAACAAAAGATAATAGAAAGCTAGAACTAGAAATCCTAAGAAGTCTCATGATAATAAGATCCTCTATGCAACTTCTTATTGAGCTCTTTGATATGTTCCTCCATCCGAGTCTTCTCAACTATGAGCTTGTCGACAACCAACTTTCAAGCAACAGAGATAGAGGGAGCGTCTGAAATTTGAATGCTCGAGAAAAATAAATCCTCTTTCCCTTTTCTCTTCTTGTTATCCATTTTTTCTTCATTCCTTTGCTTCAACTTCTTTTGAAGTTCTGCATTCTCCATGTCAAAAATCTTGTATTTGTTCCTCCAAGCATCCCTATCTTGTTACATCTTATTCAAAGCAATCTGAAGTTTCTCTCCATCATTCATGAAAATAAGAACGGGTGTTCTGGCAGCTAGAGGTAAAGGCTCTTGAAGTGGATAAGGTATCTTCAATGTGATAGCTCTGGCTTGTATCATTGGAGATAAGGCTCCAAAGAAACATAATTTGTATTTCCCAAAGCTTCCCTTCCTTTTTTATGGATGTGACGCCAAGCCTGCACAATCTTCTCCTTGAATGCATTGTTGTCTTCACCCTCTTTGAAGAAGAAACCCTCCAAATGGATATTGATTGGTTTGTCTTTCATAGGATACCCCAGCTGACGACGGGCCAAAATCGGGTTGTAGCTAATGCCTTCCTTTGTACGAAGAAGAGGTACATTAGGAAAATTGCCACAACTATCAATGATCCTCACTTTATTATAATCACAGCTGTACCAAAAATGTCTGAATGAGTAAGCGACATGATTTTTTGTGACCATATTAGACCATCTTTGAGGTCCCAAAAAGCAATAGACTGAGGCAAGTGAGAAATAAACCACTTGCATAACAATGATATACAACAACTAATCATTCATCCACCATAAGAATTCCCGAGATGAACTGAGTGATATGCATCAACGAATAGGGTTGGAATTGAGTTTCCAATCAAGAAGATCTTAATAGAATTAATCTCGAAAAAATTGTCAACATTAGGAAAGAGGAATAATCCATAAATAAGCAAGGCGAAGATAGCTTCGAAATCGTCCACACTCATCATGCTAGTGAAGTAACGTGCCCTATCCATCAGAAACTTAGCAGGTAACTCAAGAATACATCTCTTGGTAACCATGTGAGCTTTAATCTTAGATACCTTCAAATGAGTAGCTTTAGCAATATCTTGATACTTAGGAGTCTCTTCCAAACCAGAAAATAGGATTCAACCAGAAATAGGCAATCCAAGTAGACTAGAATACTCCTCAAGTGTGGGCATGAGTTGGTAATCGGGGAACTTAAAACAGTGGTACATCAGATCATAGAACTGAATCAAAGTAACTAGAACCCCATTTACCATATCGATCTTTAAAAGAGACAGAAGACTTCCATATCTATCTTTGAAAGCCTTAGGATCATCAACCAAAAACCTACCTCTCGTAGGCCTTCTAACTTAGGACTCTTGACATTGTATGTTTTATTTTTCCTTCTTCCAAAATCCATGGTGAAAAATTCTTGCAATATTTGCAACAAACATCTTTAAGTTACTTGAAGACCTGTTCAAAATGATGTTTATGAATGCATAAATGCATGGATCCAACATCCATAAGAAAGATCATACAAAACACACGGTTTCAAAGGTTTGGGATCACAAACATGGAGTGTACTAAAGTTTTTTGTATCTGTAGAGTGGGTTCTAAAACTTTCCGAGAGTTATAGATCTATCTTTCAAAAATTAATAGCACATCGATTACTCGAGAATCAGTAATATTCTCAAGAGAATCTCGTCTGAGTGTAGTATCGTTTATCAACTATTTCAGGTTTACACCTTCATAGCCACTGCACTACGTCCTAATAGGCCAAGTGGGGTAAAAGGAATACTAAGGTCCTCAGCTTCTCAGGCTCCCAGGTCGAAAATAGAAATGTTTTCACAATTACTCAATCGACAAATACCATCCTCAAAGGGTCCTCCACTGAGTGGTGGCTTCTCATGTCAACTTGTTCGGGATTACTCCCGAGATGCTTTCTTGACTATACCACCGCCTATCATAATAGCTTTCAGATCCGGGTATATGATCTATCTCACCTCTCAAGATCACCCAAAAAGAACAACCAATAATAGTCAAATCAAACAGATAAAGCATAAATAAATCAAAGTTGGCTAAACCTACTAGGTCCTCTACAGTCCCTACTAGACTCACCACTTTTCTGTAGCGGGAAAACTTGTGAGTGTAAGCTATTGATTAACTTAACTTGAAAATGCAAGAGTCGCCACTGCGCTTTTATTTTTCCAAAAGAAAAGAAAAAAGAGCGAACAAAACCTAAAGAGTTCTATAACAAGAACAAACAGAGAATGGGTAAGGGGGTTGGTTACACTAAGGGAAGGTGTTAGCATCCAAAACGTCTATAGTAATCTATAGGAACCCTTTGAAATATCTACGCTTTTGGTTTGAAAAGGTTTGTTTGAAAGGAGATTGGAGGGGATGAGAAGAGAAGTATTTTTTTAATATTTTTATGTTTTGAGAGACTTATCGCCTCATACGTACCCCCAAAGGGAAATATAGGATAAAAACCTCGTAGTTTGTAGTACGAATAACAAAAATGATTTATTTTGATTGATTTTAAATGTAAAGATAAGTCGTCATTTTAAGGAGAAAACTACGACTAGTCGCCTACAAGTATAAGACAACGTTTGCACGACCTAAAGATGGAGGATTTTGCTTGGATTAAAATCAACAAGTCTATCACTCAACATCTAAGTGGAAAATGTCAACATCTTAAATACTATGGGGAATAGGAGAATTACATCTCAATTATAAAAATGACTCATGTCTAAACTTTATGAAAAGTTTTAAATGAAAAAAGTGCACGAAGACACAAAAAATTTGAATGAGTTTTTGTATTTTAAATGTCTTTTTGAAATGGTCAAAGTATGATTAACATTGATTGACATTTATTAAAGAAAATGAAATTTGAAAATCACTTGACAAAAGTCAAGGTTTTTATGAAAGAGGTTTAATTTTGGAAACAAGAAGGTTTTGAAAAAGGGAGAAGATTTTGAAAATTGAAGGAGTGGAGAAGAAGTGACTACCCTAAAAAGCAAAATAAGAACTAGAGACGGGAAGATCTAACCACACAAGGAGCTAACACTTGACAAGAAGTCAACATAAGCAATCCTATTCCTTTTGGATTTAAACCACAAACATAATAACCAGATGAAATAAAACATCAGATGGAATCCCAAATTAAGCCATAGCAAGGTCAAAGAGAGGTCCTTCTAATGGTTAAAAGTTAATTAGGAGAGTCATGTATCAGATGATTTTCATAATGCCAAAATACCAACACCTACACACAGAAAATTTCCCAAACAAATAGACAAAAAAAACACCAAAATTCAAGGTCTCAAATCTCCAAGAGTTTAAGCAATAATTTATACGTAAGTTATCCGATGGCTACATCAAAAAATGAGTTTAAGCAATAATTAAAAATTGTGGTATAAAGTAAAGAAACCAATTCCTTATTTTAATAGACACGGTTCATCGTCCAAGGACTTAGGCAACAATTTTCTTTATTTTAGACCATAATTTTTCATTGTTGCCTAAACTTTTTTTCTTTGTAATATCAATGGATAATAAGTTATTCATAATGAAATATTTTTATTTTAAAATTTTTTTTTCTCCAGAAATAACTTTGATAAAAAAATTTAACAATTTTTTTTAAGTGTTTTAGTGTATTAGAAAACTTTATAAAAAGGCTTCTAGGAGTCTTAGTGTCCTGAAAAACTTCGTGGTAAGACCTCTGATACACAAGTTTTTCAAATTTTCTCAACTTTTAATATTGAATAGAAGAACTTTAAAATGGAAAAAAAAATGAAAAAAAGTTTAAATATAAACTATTTATACAAGGTATTTTGGTTAAATCATGTGACTTGCAGGGATGAAAGATGATTATTGAAATATAAGGTGAAATTTTCAATAAAGTCATAATAGATGAAGCTCCATGTAAATTTCTAGCCCAAGATAAAATAGATATGAGTCTTGTTTAAATTACAATCTTGTTTTTAAAAAACAAAAGTAAAACTAGTAGACCATAAAAAATAGATGAAGACTTTTTATCTTGTCGTGCAAGCTTCTCCATTCTATTAATAGCCCTTGCATTCTCCATCTTCAATATATCTTGCTCTCTCTATCTCAACAAAAATGTCGAAAAACCACACCTTTTTCATCTATTTCATTCTCCTACACATAACCACATCCCTAGGAAAAACCGAGCATTGCGAAATTCTGCTACCACGACAGTTTGATGCTACTATATCCAACAAATTCCATAACGACCCTGCAACAATCCAACATGCTTCCAATGACTATGGCAACATGGTTCATGAATCTCCAATAGCAGTGTTTCATCCGTCTTCTATACAAGACATAGTAACCCTAATTAAAATCTCATACAATAGCTCCGTTCCTTTCAGCATAGCAGCTAGAGGGCAAGGTCACTCCACAAACGGTCAAGCCATGGCACGCGACGGAGTTGTAGTTGACATGGCTAGCTTCAGAAAACAACGAAAACGCGTAGCAATTAGTGTCTCCGAAGATCCTGTGTTTGGTTACTATGTTGATGTTGGAGGAGAACAACTATGGATTGATGTTTTGTATGCTACACTGGAACATGGACTTGCACCTGTTTCTTGGACTGACTATCTTTACCTAACGGTGGGAGGAACACTTTCCAATGCTGGAATTAGTGGGCAGACATTTCGTTATGGACCTCAAATCAGCAACGTTCATGAATTGGATGTCATTACTGGTATGAAACTATTTAATTATCAATGTTTGATGCTATGTATTTCTTGTACTAAATTTTAGTTAACGTGTGGCATATGTATTCTACATAGGAGTAGTCTTTGTGTAATAAATAGTAAAAGAGGAAAATGTTGTACAAGTTCTTTTTTTTTTAGAATCAGTTCACACTGTCCAAAGTCTTAGATTCTTGACAAAGTTATGGTGGTCCAAGTCTTAACTCCTTAGTCAATTTCATATTAATTATGAAGAACAGAAGCAATGCTAAGAAGAAGCATGGAAACAAACACAATGGTTATTGTTGTATGTATGCATGCCTATATATAAATCCATATTTTAAAATATTAACTTAATTTAATATATAGTAGTTCTTTTTGTGATCTATCTAACGATTTTTTTTGTGTGGTTCAGGAAAAGGAGATTTTGTAACATGCTCTTCTGAGAAGAATTCAAAGCTATATCACAGTGTTCTTGGAGGTTTAGGACAATTCGGAGTTATAACAAGAGCAAGATTTTCTGTTGAGCCAGCTCCTACAATGGTACGGTTATACAGAATTGTCAACAACTTTGTCATTTAGTGTCTTTTTTCTCCAACAATCGTACACTAAATCTTGTTGTCATATTTTTCCAACCACATGTTTTTTGTCCATAATGTTTCCACTATTAGTATATGCTTTTCTTGGTAGTTACGTATCATAAATTTCATTCTTTAGTCAATATCGAATATCCATGAAATACACATTTTAATATTAAATCCTAAACCCTAAATTTAGAGTTCTTTGACTTATTTTTGTTATTAAAAAAAATGTAGGTCAAGTGGATGAGACTCATTTACAGTGACTTTTCAGCTTTTACCAAAGACCAGGAACGATTAATCTCAATGAATGGAATAAAATTGAATTTTTTGGAAGGGATGGTGCTAATGCAACAAGGTTCCATAAATAATTGGAGATCCTCTTTCTTTCCTTTATCTCAACATTCAAGAATAGTTTCTTTAATAAATAAGCACAACATTCTCTACTGTCTTGATTTGGCTAAGTATTATTATGATCATCAATCTCACAAAATGGTGGACAAGGTACCTAAGTTAAAACTAGTTATTTTAAAACCTCTGAAATCAAAAGCACATTTTTGTAGTGTTCTCATTTGTGCATTTTGATTATATGTAGGAGATTCAAGTTATGCTTCAAGGACTAGCTTATATTCCTGGATTTCACTATGAGAAAAATGTTTCATATGTTGAGTTCTTGAATAGAGTCCGAAGTGGAGAATTGAAGCTTCAGTCACAAGGATTGTGGGATGTTCCTCACCCATGGCTTAATTTGTTTATACCAAAGTCTCAAATATTGGATTTTAATTCAGGTGTATTTAAGGATATAATTCTTAAAAGAAACATCACTAATGGAATTGTCCTCGTTTATCCCATGAATAAAAGCAAGTAAGTATCTTTGAAATATCATAATTTAAGTCGTGATTGTGTCATTCTTTAAGAGTCTCACACTGAACAATATATTATCTAATGATATGTGTATCGGATTTCCCTTATTAGATCACCAGTTAAAATATTTAGTCCTAAGCGTGAGAGTTGATTGATAGAGTTCCTTTTTAACCAATATATGAACCGATTACAAATGCGACAAATATGATGTTAAAAATCGGTTTCGTTAGAATTAGTTAAGCTCAACAATAATTTAAAAAGAATTATAATTTTGTTGTTTTGAATTATTTTAATTAATTATATAACTATGGAAAAAAATAATTGTTACTTACATGGAAATGGAATTTCAGGTGGGATGATAGAATGTCAGCAATTATACCAGATGAGGATGTTTTTTATACAGTTGGATTTTTACACTCGGGTGGATTTGATAATTGGAAAGCATATGATGCTCAAAACAAAGAAATTTTGAAGTTTTGTAGTGATGTTGGTATAAAGGTTAAGCAATATCTTCCCAATCACAGCACACATGAAGATTGGAAAAATCATTTTAGTACTAAATGGAAAAGTTTCTTAGAAAGAAAACATCAGTTTGATCCCAGAATGATTCTATCACCTGGACAGAAAATCTTCAACAATAATTATTACCATACATTTTAAATATCACTTCCAATGAGAAAAGGGAATATTGGTTATTGGACAGTCTCAATTTGAGATTTGTTAATTGCAAAACAATTTCAAAATTTCGGTTTAATCTAAATTGGTTATTTGGGTTAACTATTCATTGAGTGATTTGGAGATGTAGGAACACAATTTTATTCAAAGAGAAGATTTTAAACAAGTTTGATATGTTAGGGAAGTTTTCTTCTTGGGAATGCTTGTGGCTTTAAACAAATTTAAAAAAACTAATCTTTGGTTGGATTGTTGTGAAAATCCTAATTTTTATTTTGATTAATTTCTTGTTTTTACTACTGTTTTGTGGTTGGAGTTCCATCTTATTCTTGACTTTGTATTGGATTGGACATCCGTTATGTTAGCATATTATATATATATATATATATATATATATATATATATATATATATATATATATATATATATATATATATATATATATATATATATATATATATATATATATATATATATATATATATATATATATATATATATATATATATATATATATATATATATATATATATATATAAAATCAAAATTTAAGATAAGATAATGATTTTTTTAATAAGGGATAAGTTATCTATCTATCTATCTATCTATATATTTATATATATATATATATATATATATATATATATATATATATATATATATATATATATATATATATATATATATATATATATATATATATATATATATATATATATATATATATATATATATATATATATATATATATATATATATATATATATATATATATAATGATCAAAGATAAGATGATGATTTTTTTTAATAAGGGATAAGATCTATCATAAAAATTTGGATATTGCATAGAGAAGTTTGAAGGAATTTTTTTGGAGGGTCATCCCCTGATTAGAAGTTGACTCAGAGATTATAGGAGCCTCTGGAATAATAGGAGTAGAAGATTTTTCAAAAGTTGTATTCATATTGAATTTGATGTATGTTAAATTGAATATGAATTTGTGATTTGGCTTTAACAAAGTTGTGTGATTACCTAGATCAAAAGTAGCTTCATCTAAAATCAGTAGCTTTAGTTCGACTAGATCGTGGCTGAGTCCAGAAATTTCGTCATAGTCCCAGGCAAAGAAATCATTAAACTCTTTTAGTACCTTGATTACTTCTGCTTTTAAGTGTGGGCCAAATTTGCACTAATGTACGTCGGCCTCTTCTTCGTCCTGTCTCCTAAGTCTTTCTCTTCAAAAGGATCATGCGCTTGCATTTTCTTGGTCAAGATTGTTAGTTCTTTTTTGAACCCCAATGGCTCATCATCATAGATGCAATCTAGCCTCCGATTTTTTGAAGTTGTTATTTGGTCGATAAAGCCAGATTGATCTGACCAAGAGTTCTCAAGCTTAAAGGCTTTGATAGCCGCTATTAGTTGAGACTCGGACTCCAAGGTTGCCAATATTTTGTTTTCAGCCACATAGGTAGAAATCCGTGACAACACGTTTGACTCAATCATGATCCCCATCAGATTCAGATAATCGGTTATACCCTTCGATAATTTCGTACTCCCAGGTAAACATGTATTAAGGGTATAGGTTCACAGTGCAAGATATCTCACGTCCTTCGAAGTTATACCTTCCCCCAGCAGGCTTGCATGGAGAAATGTTAGCCAATTTTCGGTCAAAGTTGAGCCTACCGATATGATTGACATTTGCTCTAAAACAACTCTAATCCGCTACGATAATTTCGACAGTCCCATCAGGTCTCTAGATGGTGATCCTCTGATGCATCGACGAGGGTACGTATCCCACTCCATGCAACCATTCTCTACTTACTAGCATATTATAGTTTTCTTTGGTCGGCACTACCACAAATAGTGTTGGCATTGTGGTAGTTCCAACCACTACGTCGACTTGGATGACCTCTAAGGGTTTGTGTGTTTTTCCCTTATGATTAGACAGTACCATGTTGTTACAGGATAAATCAGTGGTAAATTTGCCTATTTTTCCCAAAAGGGACTAGAGCATAACATTAACAGATACTCCACAGTCGATTAGGATGTTGTTAATCCCCACACCATTTACCTCGGCCCTTAAACACAAGCCACAATCATCCATCGTCCCCTTAGCCGGATGCGTCTCGCTACCACAAGCTTCATGCAAGCGTCAGAGAGATCAAGAACACGGAGGAAAGGATAACCAAGCGAGAGAGGGCGTACGCGAAGGGGCCACGACGGATTTTAGTTGAGTCTGTTTCTCTTCTGTGAGGAAAATCAGTTGCAGAGGAAAGTTAGGAACAAAGCGTGAGATCTCCTCACTACATTGTTTGACTTATGAGTTTTACTTTTTTTTATCCAAGTTTTGTTGTTTGGACTGGGCTCTTTAGCCCATAAGCAATTTCTCTTTACCATACACACACACACACACACACACTCTTTCTATTTCACATACTCACCATCATCCACATAGTTTCTACATATTGTCACATCCTAACTTTTGGCCGTAAGATCCCACCTCTTCGTGCATTTTTTTTTTGCACGTTATCGTTATGCTGTTGTGTATGTTTACTATGGCTAACCAGCTTGTGCAGGTGTGTTAAGGTGGAGATGACACTTACAACATGGCTATTTGATTCTGATTCAGGATTATGCTTACGATGATTCCATCCCTTAAGTAGCCAGTGGCAAGTTCAAGGAAATTCTCATATGGCTTATCCAATCTTGAACCAATTTTATCGAAGTTTACAACAAGCTCATACGCTGTTTTGGACTCAAGGTTGTCTCACGTTTTGGAAATAAAGGCGTAGGCCACGCAAATTGGAACCTCACAAGAGCCAATTTCATGATTGACCCACAATACAAGCTCATATTAAGATCAAAGGTTGAAATTTAATTGGAAAATTGGCTACGGGGGCAACTTAGAAGTTCAAACACGGGTTGAATTATTCGCATTAGAAAGTCATTTAAAATTCCCTAATTGTGATCCTCCGTCATAAACAATTATCGTTCTTTAGGTAACTCATATGGTTTAACCGCTTGGCAATATTTTTTGGTTTGACTTGATGAGCACCAAAATAGTCCAATTTCATTCACATTAAGCAGCAGTGGATTATAAAAGCATACAATGGATTAAGAGAGTAAAAGCACTTTATAATTATGTGAAGGTTACAATATCAAGATTCTACAGTAAGCTCGTTAATTGAACAACAAGAATTATCAAGGAAGTTCGTAGAATTGCTCGTGTTGTTCATCTTACAATTGCATTGAGACGGAAGTTGACAGGTTCTGTTATCACGTCTTTCCTCAATCATGTGCTTACTCCTGGGTCTGAATCTCATGCCAAATTGTCTGCGTATCTTCCCAAGAAGGATGATCGTGAGATGGAAGTGGACACTGCAACGTCTGCCATTCAAACCCCTACAACTAACATTTGTTGCCCGAGCTAGAAGTTTATTGTTATCTGCTTGTATCACTTTTTCTGGTTGATCAGAAGAAATATAATGAGGCCAAAGCCTGTTCCTCATCTAGCATTGCTTGGCTGAAGAATGTGAACAGAAGAACTGTGGATGTAGCCATGAAACTTACTGGAGATCTAGCTGAAATTAGAGGTAACCTCCTTGCTTTGCACCGGATTGCCACTCTGCGCCATGATGAGTTGGGCCAAGAAACTCTTTTGAATTTATTGCTACGCAATTGTCTTCACTACAACTTATTCGACTAGGCAGAAAGTTGAGGTCAAAGGCTCCACAATTTGAAGCACATTCAAACCAGCAGTTTTGCTGTTATCTCTTCTACCTCAGGAAAATCCTGACAATTTGATTGGAGTATACAGATGCAAAAGAGTCTCTCCTGCGGGCTGCTCAAGGGAATGGAGAAAGCGCTAAGGCCTTACTTCGAGCTTACAAATGTTGTCAGTGTTGGAGACTTGGAGCTGTTTAAAAACATTTCAAATAAGTTTGCAATCACCTTCAGTGCAGATGGAATCCATAATTTGATTGTTCGCCTGCGGCATATTGTCATCAGGACTGGTTTACATAACATCAGCATCTCTCACTCACCTTCAGCTTTCAACGAATTAATGTTTATCCTTGGAATGCAAGTGGCTCAAGTAGTTTGTCTTCCATTACAGCAGTGTGTGGATTAGCTAGAAAGATTGATAGCTGATAACTTTTTATGGCCTTTCATTCTCGGTTAACTGGAAGTCTCGAAGAATTGAAAGAAGTGGGAAGATCCTGAAGATTCTTCAACTACAGCCTAGGAAATAAGTTCAGATGATCCAGTCAAAGAAGTTTTTTCCTGATGTAAAAGTGCTAACATCGTGGGATGATAAACCAAGTGGTTCAGGAAATCTTTCAGAAGCTTCTTTTGAACATTCTGAATCCATTAAAGTCAATTTGATTGACCAATGTCTTGATAGCTCCTCAGACTCAGGAATGCCAATACAGTTTCTGACAAGAGAACCAAAAGCTAGCTGGCTGAAAATGAATAACTGGATTTAGTTATTAGTCTAACATCTCATGGATTTGAAAAGACACCAGGGACTTTGATAAAAAGATAGAATTGAAAGCCTCAGCTAAAAAACTTGAATTGGGAACTTTGCCTTATCTTCATCTTGATTCCACCTTCCAAAACATCCTTGCACCAAGACCCCTACATCAAGAAGTTAACCAGTTTTTTTAGCAAACTCTGAGCTTGAGAAGCTACTTGTTTGTGTGAAGGATCAGGAACCAACAGAGAAAATACCTGGGCACATCAGTAACTACAATCATGAGCAATAACCTCACGCCAGCAGCGTCACGCCATTCGCATTCGTTGCAACAAAACCATTGTTATTATTAGAGAATTGAGCAGTTCAGTTTTCTGCAGAAGAAACATCCAGTGTCAGACCTGCAAGACAAGAGCAGACATAAAATATTTGAAGTTTGTAAGTACACAACCAAACATCCCAAAAGTTACTTGGCAAGATCAAGTTAATTGAGAACATGAGTTATATGATTATAGAGAATAG